AGGAAAGAAAAAAGGGAACTCCTTGCTTTGGGAATCTTTATCTCAGGATAAACGCAACATAAAAACAAGCAAAACCAAAGACAGTCTAAACTTAAAACAAGCAGTTTCCTCAAGAACCAGAAAAGTATATGCAACTATGTATCATTTGCTTTAATGTCAGTTTTGTTTAATTTCAAAATTCACATTTAACTGGTGATAATGATTTCCTTACTGTGTTGCCTTTGTGGTCCCTTTTTTTCCTTCACCCTCCCTAGGGAATGTTGTTGTTGTTTTTTTGGGGTTTTTTTTTTTCCAAATTTCCTTGCTGATTAAAAGAACATTTTCGACCTCTTAAACCCATTTCTTTGTTTACAGATGCTATAAAAACTAGTTTACAATTGTTTCATGTTGCCTCAGCTTTGAACCAAGAACACTCTTGGACATCAAGCTATTCCTTTGAAGGGAACAGTGTCTCAAACAGAGCCAGACACTTTCGCAGCCACTCCCCGAAGTCCAGACAACCAGAGCTTTGCAAATGTCAAGTCTTTCTCAGAGTTAGACTATACAGTGTGGGTTAGGTTTGGGGTGGGGGTGGGGTAAGGGGGCCTTCCATACATGTTCCAACAGAATTTTATAGACTAGACATGCAAAGGGCTAAGGAGCAGGTTACAAAGTAGGAGAGATGACCTCACCGACTTTTCCTTCCATCTTTCCTTACAGCTTTCAACATTTATAGCAATGCTGAGAAAGCTTCAGAAGCAGGTACATTCTCTATATATTCTATTCTACAGAAGGCTGCTTCTCACTATTGTTCTCTCTCTCTCTCTCTCTCCCTCTCTCTCTCTCTCTCTCTCTCCCTCTCTCTCTACCTCTGTCATTCTTTATCTCCTTCTCAGTTCCCAAAAGATGCTAGGCTGGTAGGTAGGCAAAATGAAAAGGTAAACATTTAGAATTATTTTTTTATTATTATTTTATTCAATTTATTGGGCTGACATTGGTTAGTAAAATTATATAGGTTTCAATTGTGCAATTCTATAATACATCATTTACATATTACATTGTGTGTTCACCACCCAGAGTCAGTTCTCCTTCCATCACCGTATACTTGACCCCTTTGCACTCTTCTGCAATACCCGCTCCCTGCTTACCCTCTGGTAACCACTAAACTATGTCCGCGTCTATGATTTTTTGTTTGTTTGTCTTGTTCAGTTTTATATGTCACATATGAGTAAAGTCATGTGGCTTCTCACTTTTTATGTCTGACATATTTCGCTTAGCATGATAATTTCAAGATCCATCCATGTTGTCAAAAATGGTAGTATGTCATCTTTTCTTATGGTCGAGTAATATTCCATTGTATATATGATTATTTTCTATATCAAAACTGAGCAATCATTGTGTGGCTCTGTTCCCAAGGTGACTCTGTATTCAGATAAACCTCTATTTTAAGAAGCCACTTCTAGAGACAAGCAGACATTTAAATACTTGAAACTGAAGATCCAAAATGTCACTCAGCCAAGTAAGTGACAAAGTCATTCCTGCCTTTAGATCCCAAAGATAAAGATGATTTTCTGTCTCAGAAGATTCCCTGAACAACATTTGGAGGAGGAGGCTGTTTGGGTCTGCTGTTTTTAATGAAATTTAGTTTCATTTCTTAAATTTAATTCCTATTTTGCTTTTTTTAAAAGATATAAGCAATGTAAAGTATAGTCTTTGTAATCACTACAAACCACATAGCTCTGCTACTTGAAGTGAACCAAATGAAGAAAATTCTTCACATATAATTATTACCTCTACTGGCAACGATAAAGTAAACTTAGCACTTACATAACACATTTCATGATCAAATTGATTCAAAAGTTAAATTGGTTAGCTTCAGGGTCTACTCTGTCAGCATTTTCCTGTGGCTAACAATCTAGAAAACGTGAACATTCTCAGATAGCTTTTTTTTTTCTTTTTTTCTCTCCTGGATCCTTCAATTGTTAAAATTCCTATATTTGCAAAAAATTTGCATACTATAAAATTCAAGGCTTTCTTCTATATCTCAGCCATATTTCCAAAGACCTTTGAAAACTAATGGCCACCTATCTGTGTAATATTGCATTACTCATTGAAGCACAGCCTGTAATTGCAAATAATTGAAAACATTAGGGAATTGGTAAATTAGGGCACATTCATGCAATGGAATATTATGTAGCTGGAAAAAAATTAGAAAGCACTTTACATATGTCAAGTAATGATCTCTAAAATATAAGTTTTCACTTAAAAATGCAAAATAAAGAATATTATGCATAGTAGGCGAATTCTGTTTTTTTAAAGGAAAAATATATACACATAAATTTACATGTACATACAACATCTTTAAAAGGTAAGAGTTCTACCTCAAGGAGACAAACTGAGATACAGAGGTGAGACAAAGACTTTGCCTCATATACCCTTTTGAATTTTTTACCATGTGAATGTTTTATCTATTCAAAAAACACACTTTTAAATTTTAAAAAGTCTAAGGTTACTGACAACTTATAATATATACGGATGGTATGCTGATTTACCATCAGCAAAGCTTATGCTTTTCAGTTTACAATAGCGATGATGGACTCATGCTGATATGTGAAGACTATCCCACACCAGCATAATTTTCTAACATGATCTTCTGGAATTTAAGGTATAAATCTAACCTGCTCTAATTATCCTTTACATAAACAGAGACATTACCATGGCCCCCTTAGCTGCTGATACTCTTATTTGAAATATAAATAGTACAACTACACAATGAAAGTAGATTTTATGTTTGTGGACTTGCAGGCATTCAAAAACTATTTGGGGAAAACAAATATGATTACCTGTATTTGAAAAAAAAAAAAGGGGTAAGGCAAAATCTAGGTGGCTTGCTTATTAAGTCAACCAATAAGTTACAAAAAGGAAGACAAATAAAACTTAACTTTTTAAAAGCCTCCTCAAAAACTACTTTTTTTATGGGTAAATAATGGAATACTTCTAAAAGTATTTGTGGTGTGTGTGTGTGTGTGTGTGTGTGTGTGTGTGTGTGTGTGTGTGTACATTCACATGTGGGCATTCACACAAAGAAAAAGGAAGACAGAAAATGAATAAGTTTTCAGCCATGATAAAATCCTTATTCAAAAATATTTGGTCATCCTCTAACTGTCGAAGAGTGTACTAGATACAAAACTACAAGTTAAAAAAAATACTGTGAGGGCCGGCCGAGTGGCGCGTTGGTTAAGAGTTGGCTTGGGACGCCAGCTCTGAGCAGCAGGGCCGGGGTTCGGATCCCACATGAGGGCCAGTGACGCTGTGCCCTCTACAGCTAAGATGGTGAACAACAGCTCGACCTGAAGCTGGACTGCCGTTGAGTGGCCAGCCACGGCGTAGGCTGAAGCCCCTACTGCAGTGGGCTGCCATAAGTTACCATGTGTGGCCAGCAACCAGAGTGAGCAGCCGGCAGCCGGTATGAGCTGCCAAGAGCCACCATGAGCAGCCGTCCAGAGGCCGGCGACCAATCTGCCTCAGCTGGGAAGAGCACAATGATCATACCAACATGGGCCAGTGAAGCAACGTCCTCCACAACTAGACTGAACAACAAAAGAACAGCAACATATCGGTTCCCCTTCTCCCGATTCCCCAGCGCTGTTCCCCTCCCTCAATTCCCCAATAAAATCTTTAAAAAAAACTAAATACTGTGAAAGAGCAAGTAGCCTAGCTGAGAAGAGGGATGTGTCTAGGCAGGAGAGGTGACATCTGAGCTGAGCCTTGAAGGATGAAGCAGATGACATCAGAAAGAAAAGGGGAAGGAACAGTCCATGCAGAGGCAGAGCACATACAAAGACTCAGGAATCGGGAGCAGTTGTGTATAGTTAAGAGAGAAGGGCTCATGGCACAAAATGCAAGTTGAATGGAAGGCTGGAGCTAGTTTTGGAAGGGCGTGTATATCATGCTAAAGATTTTGGACTTGTAACTATAGAGAGCAGAGTATAAAGAAAAATCAAGGTTCCAAAAAGACACAAAGAGATGATCTAAGGGAACAAAATAAGGTTTGTGAAGAAAGGTTAAAAGGCCAGAGGTTATTCAACCTAATACACTTTAAGCATATTCAATAGACTGAAAGTTAGAGCTGTACTCGATGGAGCACAGAAAAAAAGGTTACGTATTCAGCTCTGAGGATGCTACAATAAAGGTGAGTAAGAAACACTGGGAGAACCAGTAACTCCACCAAGAAGAATCTGGGAGCTCAGTAAGAGTTGGGAGAAAGGGGCAGAAGCCCAAATGATTTCAAGAAGGCAAAACTGACAGTGTAGAGATCAAGACCATTTCTTGAAGGAAAGAGTGGCATCTCTTTTTCAGGGAATATCTTATAAGAGAGGCTCACTTCCACAAGATGGCTCAAATACAGTCCTGTCTGACCACCTCAGGATGGTGTATGCTCCTTTTATCCCTTATGATTCCATTATCCTCAGTCTGGGAATGGAAGAAATATGGTAAAACCCAACAAATTAAAAGCACTGCACGTTATTTACTTGGAATAATCATGGGAAGACATGTCTAAATCACAAAATACTTTTAACGAGGTTAGTGCTATTATTTTCTAGTACATGTACCAGTGCCAAAGGCTAAGCAAGTGTTATCAATAGTGTATAAACTCTACCACTGTGGAAGCAGTATTGCTTATAGGCAACCTTCTTTCTTAAAATAAGTCAGGAATTTGCATTGCAATTGTGAATTCTAAACAACTTAGCTAATGTCTTCATTAAAAAAAAAAAAAAAAAAAGCAATGACAAATTTAAGCAGGGCACCAAAACTTAAGTACAGCAAATGACCACAAGTTTCCAAACTGTAGAGTTTAAATTAGTTTGTTCTCACCACATAGGAAATATCAACCACATGACATTTTAAGGGAAAGAAAAACAAATGGCACGTAGGGTGGGTGTGGACACTTTGTGGCAGATTGGTGAATTTTTTTCTAAAAATTTAAATTGTTAACCAATCAAACGTGAAGGAAAGAGTACCTGGAGGATGGAATCAGGTTGAGTATCCCGTTGAGAACATAGCTGAACTCTGCATGATCCTGAGCCACAAGTGCCACCAGACCTTCGCAGCAGGCTGTTCGAACCACCACATTATCACTGCAGCACTTCTCCCACAGCAAGTTCAAAGCAGGAGTCTGAAATCAAACCAGGGGTGAGAGGACATTTCAGATGAGTAGCCAATGCATACACACTCCAAGCTATGCATCAAAGGGTAACTGGTTCACAAGGAGCTAGCTTTCCTCTCCAAAGATGATGCCGTTGTCACAGCATTTTGTAAAATACATGCAAGTCGGTTTTCCAATAGAGGCAATAGATGGGTTCAGATATAGCAACTCACACTCATCTGGTGTCTTTGATGCAGAATAAGACTGGCGGCAAACAGGAGTGACCTGAGTTCGAGCAATACAACAGAACTAATGGGATGAAAACTCAGACTTGGCTCTAGCACAGGGCTCTAACCAAGCCATTTCACCAGACACCCACAATACCAGCAGCTCAGTTAGTCTAAGCTGAACTCCAAATCATACCTGTGCTCCAAGCCCTAAATGGCAATAACATTTTCAGAAAACGTTCCTGCTTTCCTACAATCAACCTCTATCACCTACATGTACCCCGCCACCCCCACAATGTCCCTGACCACATTTATTGAAGTGGGCCAGCGGGAAGAGAGAAGTAGGACAGGTTAAGCAAGCTGCTGGCTCCATGGCTACAAACAAGTTTTTCTAAACTGTTATGCCCAAGAAAGAAACGGTGATCTTCCCGCCACACACACACACCATGAATCTGTCACCTTTCAGAGAAAAGCACCAGAAGGGTACGCAGGTAAATATAAGTTCTTTATTTTGAAAAATCCTATAAAAACAGAAGTTCTAACTTTCATAATTATTTCAGGAATCCATGATGCCCCAACCCACCCCCTCTCAAAAAAAAAAAAAAGTTTACTATTAAGGATAAACCTATATTTGAATATACTGTGGGTTAAATCCATTTGAATTTACACATGGTTTGGGGGTTTTTATGGTTTGGATTTTTTTTTTCTTTGAAGAACATATAATGAAGCAATTTTTCTTTCCTTTTACTGCAGAAATATATAATTTGAGAAAAAATATTAAGATCACTAGCTCCCATAGAATAACTAAAAGAATGAAAATCAACATCTTATTTTGCCCACTTTCTCACTGAAGCTGGCTCTCGGAGCCTTTTCAATGCTAGAATCCCATAACAGAATAATACAGTTAACAGTCACTGCAGAAAAGTAATATTTATATTTCAATTCTTTTATTCAGAAGGGAATTTTATTCACCTAGATGGACAATATCAAAGGTTTCTAAATGTCATCACTCCATTACTAAGGCAGAAAAACAAAACAAGTGAACAAAAAACTGTTGCTTTGGGTAATACTGTGTCCTCATGGAAGTGAGTATTCATTTATTAATAGAGGAGAAAACATTTAGTTACGGGGATTGACATTCAATAAATTCTGGCAGGTTAAGTAAAACCACTAGATCTTGTCAGAGTACATAATGTGATTATAGGCAGGATTAAGATCAGGGTTCTCAGAAAACCTAATTTATATAACTACATACAAACATCAGAAATGCAAATAAAAACCAGAATGAGATATCACCTCACACCAATTAGTGGAGTATGCCCCAACATTTCCTTCAACATGTCAGCAGAAGCTGTAAAGAAATGTAACTTGGAGCAGCTAATCAAATGTAATGTGAGAGAAAAAAAATCATTTTGTTTCTGTTGTGAAAAAAAAACGTTTTCTATCACCTATATTCTCTATAGAGTTTACCTTAGAGCACCAGCGTGTCAAAATACACAACACTGGTCAACCAAAACCAAGTGGCATATATCTCAGTAAGCTGGCATTGCTTCAGTTCTTAACATTCACCTGCCCTATGCATAGTTCAGAATATTTCCTCCCGCTCCAACTGTCAATTGTCAATGCATGACCTTTCCAACTTAGAGCTCACATATGAGGCTAAGCATGAGGTATCTCCTATACCCAAAAAGAACCTATGTTCATTTTCTCTATTAAACAAACATATTCCCTCAGAGGTAACCCTATCAACCTTCTCTAAAGTATGTCTACCTTCATTCCACCCATGTTATTTCTCATTAATAGTCATAAGAACACTCCCCTCATTCTTATTCCTGGAATCTGTCTTCACAAATTTTTTCTTTTTTTTTTTTATTTCAAAAATTTATTTTGTGCCTTGTGCTGAAAGCTAGAATGGTCTCTATTGTTTTTTGCTTTTTTTTTTTTTTTAATTAAAGTTTACTGGGGTGACAATGGTTAGTAAAGTTACATAGGTTTCAGGTGTACAATTCTTTAATATATCATCTATATCACATTGTGTGTTCAGCATCTCTAATCATCAGAGAAATGCAAATAAAAACCACAAAGAGATATCACCTCACACCAGTTAGAATGGCTATCAACAAGACAAATAATAACAAGTGTTGGAAAGGCTGTGGAGGAAAAGGAACCCTCATACGCTGTTGGTGGGAATGCAGACTGGTGCAGCCACTATGGAAGGCAGTGTGGAGGTTCCTCAAAAAATTAAGAATAGAATTACCATATGACCCAGCAATCCCTCTCCTGGGTATCTACCCAAAAAATCTGAAAATATATATCCATAAAGATATATGTGCTCCGATGTTCACTGCAGCTTTATTTATGGTGGCCAAGACATGGAAACAACCAAAGTGTCCTTTGATAGATGATTGGATAAAGAAGATGTGGTATATATACCAAATGGAATACTATTCTGCCATAAGAAAAGATGAAATAATGCCATTTGCGACAACATGGATGGATCTTGAGATTATTATGCTAATAATAATCAGAAAAAAATCAAGAACCATATGATTTCACTGATATGTGGGATATAAAACTGAAAACAACAAAGGAACAAGACAAACAAAACTCAGACACAGACAATAGTTTAATGGTTACCAGAGAGTAAAGGGGGAGGAGGGTGGTAGATGAGAGTAAATAGGATCAAGTATATGGTGGTGAAAGGAAAAATTTTAAAGAATTAGGAAGAAAAATGTGCCAAACCAAAAAAAGGGGGGAAAAAGGCAATGGACTTCTCATAGTTCAAAATCATGTCTACAGTGACCTGAACTGTGAGGAAACAAAAGAAGTGCATATGTGGTCCAGCTGGTAGCAATATTGGAATAGAACTAAAGCACAAAGTTAAACACAGACCTGGTTTGTGGATTGATGGATCTTTTCTGAAAACCTATTTTCCTTTAGGACTGCAACAATAAGATGACCAACAGCCTAAAAAAAAAAAAATTAATGAATACATACCCTTAAAATTTCTCTCCAAATAGTGCATTTGAAGGTAACTAGTATCAATACTAGATGATACGAGTATGCCAGACAGGCAATTGGAAATAAAATTCCAATTCATTGAGTGTGTGCTATGTAGAAGGCACTGAATTAGTCACTCTACATATATAATTTCTTATCTTTATAACAACCTTCAAGGTAAGCATTTTTATCCCAATAAGCAAACTAGAGTTCATAGACGTTAAGAAAATTGCCTGATTTTCAGTTCAAATTGCTGTCAGTATTAGAAGATAATTTGAGATTGCTTAATCCATGAAACCATAAGACAAATGAGAAACTCCACAGCTTTTAATACCATCTTTGCATCTAAAGGAAATCCATCATGCTTCATCACACCCTTACTGAAGATGGAGAAACCACATCCTCATCGTTATGACTACAGCCCACAGATCTGAACTGATAGGTCTCCTGCGACCACGACCATTCTCCCTCCTCTAGGCTTTATGAGTTAATTTCTTTATTATTTTCTTGTGGGTTTTAGCCATCTAATAAGCTTTCAGTCTCATAAATCTCTAAAAATTCCCCAAATCCTATTTTGGTTCAAAACTCCAAAATTAAGACTCATATAGGAGTGCTGATTACATAAATACATAAATATTATTACCTCCTACCCCCTCAACCTCATTCTTCTAGCTCTTCAGCACAACCCAGCATTGCTCTGTTGGAACCTAGGCTAGCAATGACAACCATTCTGTGTATGGGTTGGGAAATACTTTGCAACTGCCACAACTGTTGATCCCGCACTTGGGACCAATGCATATGATACAGCTGTGAATGAATACCTGTCAGTCTTGCAAAGTCTCCAGAAAAGCTCAACTAAAAACACAGTACCCATTTCTTTCTGCATTTCACACATTGAATATGCTTAAAGACTTCAGTGCTTGATGGTCTCAATTTTGCAATACAAGTATCATTTACATAAATATTAGGTTTAGATCAATTAACTATCTCTTACCTCCTACAATAGTTAAAGGGATAGTAACAAGAATTGAGGACCAGTGAATAGTTTTGGTTCCTGTTTACAAAATGCACCATAGTTCATTGAATGTAACTGGCCATTAACTGCAAAATGTGTCATTATTTTATGTACTACAAAGAAAGAAAAAAATCAGCCAATTAATCTATGTTATACAATATTTCTCACAATTTAATTTTACATTAATGAAAGAGCTTTCAGACTCATTTAGAAAACCATGGCCAAGTGCAAGCAATACCAACTGTATAAAAACTGCTGCCATCAATTGCTCAATGCTACCCAATTTCACAGATGTTAGTTAAAATGTGAAAAAATGTGTGTGAGTCAATGAAATATGGTGCTAACGCAGAGCAGTGGTTACAAAAGAACAATAAGAAGTATTCACAAAGGAGAGGGCACAATTGCAAGAACCTAATAAAACCAATATGAAACACAAAAAGGACCGAAAAAGGCTATCATTCATACTCAGAAAAAGGACTGAGAGAAAATAAACTTAATGATAAACATCCCCCACTGCCTACCAGGTTCAATTTCTCTAATTTACGTTTCAGTGTATCCTTCTAAGAAATCAGAGACTATAGCCTAAATTGATTTTAAAAGACAAAATCTAAGCATATATCAGCTTATATTGCTACTTTAGTTTTCCGTAACAGAATAGTTTAAATAGACATCCTACAATAAGTATATACTTTGCGCTTAATTTAACAATAACATACATAGGCATTTCTTGATTATCTATGCTAATGAAAGGGCTCTAGGCACAGAATAATAAAAATTGTGGACAGTATCCTCCAAGCCTTCATCTTCTTCTTCATGGTAAGGACCTGTGCTGCATAGGATATGACTCTAACCCAGTCAGGTAGAAGGGAATCTTGCATAAGGAGTGTTGTTCTCCTCATGGAAGGGTTCCCCACTACCCAGCTAAGTCAATTCCCACAGCAGGCATCTCCGAAGTTAACTGTTGAAAGTATCCAAGACGCTGTAACGTTGCTAAGTCTTCAGGCAGGCTTCTGTTGGTCCCTTAGCTTTCCTCTCACAAGAAAAGACAGGCAGCTATTATGGTACCTTGATTAACCAGAATGCTTCCAGTTAGGTGAAGGCGAATCCGAAAACCATCTTTGTTTTAACCCAAATAATTGAAAAGCTCTCTAAAATAAATTATCACAATCTCCTGCCTAAGTTAGCATACAGATTGAATTTTTTAATTCAGGATATTTTACTTATTGAATGTCATTATTATAAAAATCTATTATTCTTAATATGCCCCTATACTCTACAGGGGTAGAATATACCTTTTAAAATATTAATCTCTCAAACTCTGTAAATGTATAACCATTTATTTCTCTTCCCAATAATTAATTCTAGACCAAAAATACACATTCAGGGGTTAATCGAGGTTTTATTATTTCTAAGCAAAAAAGCACGACATAAACAGAAGCTGAGATTGGTCAGTTTCAAATATTTACTTTCCTGTCAACTATCCATTTTCAAATTAACTCATTTAAAAGTTGTTCAATAAAATTATATTTATATATACAGGATAATAAAACATTCAATGTTAAAAATATAAAGTTCAGTTAACAATCCACAAAAGAGGTTCATTTGTTACCATGAAGCATAAATAAATGGATGGATGGATGGATGGATGAATAAATAAATAAATAAAATTACCTGTGATTGGATAAAAGAATTTGGAAATTCAAACCTTTTCCTGATATCATCGGACATTTTTGCTTCTCTTACATGTATGGATGCAGAATCTGTAACCAAACAAAAGAATATTTGTTAATCTGGAAAGGGAGTTCAAACCAATTATTCCTCAAATAACATGAAAGAAATTCATTTCAAGACAATGGAAATACAGCACAGGGCTCTACAGAGTAATCCTTGTCATATCCTCACTGTTAACCACCTCAGGCCCCAAATGCCATGATGAATAAACAAACTAAAATGCTCAACAGCTGTTGGTGTTTCCATTATAGCTAATTTTGAAACAGATGGATTCACAATACAGAAACAAAAAAATCCCAAAGTTCGAGCCTAAATAGCATGATTTTAAAAGTTCAACCACATGTTTGAAATAGAAATTAATTATTTTATCAATCAAAACTTTAAGGGAGAAAGAATCGAACTATCACAAAATTGTTTAAATTATGCCTCGCTTTGGAACTAGCGTTCATTTAAGTACTAATCCAACTGCTAGTGACAACTATAAAGCCTAGGTGAGCTTTTTCTCAGGTAATACAGAAATGACCTAGAAACTCACACATCAAAACAGATTGCTTAGGGCCGGCCAAATGGCGCATTGGTTAAGAGCTGGCTTGGGCCCCGGGTTCGGATCCCACATATGAGGGCCAATGACCCCTCCCTCTACAGCTAAGATGCTGAACAACAGCTCAACTTGGAGCTGGGCTGCCATGAGTCGCTGGCGATGATGTAGGCTGCAACCGCTGCTGCGGTGGGTTGCCATGGGCTACCGTGTGTAGCCAGCAGCCAGCATGAGCAGCCAGCAGCTGCAGTGAGCAGCTGTCCAGAAGCCGGCGACTGATCTGCCTCGCCCGGGGAAGAGCGCAATGATGGTGCCAACTTGGGCCAGTGAAGCAACATCCTCCACAACTAGACTGAAGAACAAAACGACAGCAACTTGTCTGTTCCCCTTCCCCAATTCCCCAGTGCTGTTCCCATCCCTCAATTCCCCAATAAAAATCTTTAAAAACAAAAACAAAAACAGATTGCTTATTTCCTACAAGCAAGAAATTAGCACCATTTAATATTTATATCACACCTCTCATTCCTACTGGGCTCTCAAAAAAAAAAGTATGCAAAAAAATGGGCAGGTGATAAATTGGAGGCACAGAAGTAATAAAAGGATTTCCTAAGGATCGCAATTTATCCAATTCCCATGCAGCACTGAACCCACCAAATTACACTACTTTGAAAAATAGGATGCTTCAGGTCACGTATTTATTACAGTATCACTTTCAAAAAATTTATGTCAGTACAATACTCTAGGTTACTTTATAAAAATAACAGGCTGCAAAACCAAGCTCTTCTGATCGCAAAAGGAGGGGCACCTTGTGCTGAACCCGAGACTCCTTCTACTTTCCTCCCTTTCTTCCAAAGCTCAGCTACCCGAGTGGATAATTTACCCTCGCTTTCTTCTTCAACATTAGGTCCACCTTTACACCCCTGAATTTGACGTTTCGCAGCACTGAAACAACTTGTTCTAAGACTGCAAACTATAATATGTTCCCTATCTAAATCTACTCATTAGATTAAGCAGGTCACAATATCTTCAACTTCCCAGTTGTTTTAATTTCACCTTTCTTGAAATTTTCTTCTTTTCAACTCCATAAGACATCATAACAGAATTATCCAAAGTATGTCCATGGGTAACCCAGGATAAAAAAATCTCCACGAGGAGAAAAAATGAGTCTGTAGAGATATATATTGCCATCTTGAAGATTCATTCACTCACTTAACAAACACTTATTAGGTACCTATTGTGTGTCAGAAACTGTTCTAGGTGCTTAGGCTACATCAGTGAACAAAACAGACAGAAGTCCCTATACTCATGGAGCTTACAGTCTAGCAGGAAAAGGTAGACATAAAAAAATAATGATACATAAAACATAATATGCTAGAAGGTGATAAGTGCTATGGGAAAAAAGGGAGTAAAGTAGATAGAGTAAAGGGGATGAGAAATGGGGGGAGACACCCTTTCTATTTTAAATGTGGTGGTCAGGGTTGGCCTTTTCTAGAGAGGGTGGCATTTGGGAGTTGATAGCCATACAGATATTTGGGGGGAAAGTATCACAGGCACAGAAAACGGTGAGTGCAAAAGCCCTACGCTAATAAAGTGCTTAAATCCTGTTCCAGAAAGAGCAGAGATGGATCAGGCACAAAGTGAAGAGGAAAATAACAGTAAATCAGAGTCAATGAGAAGCCAGGTAGTAGACCACTGGAAGGACTCATGCATTGATCCTGTGTAAAACGGAAAACGACTACAGAAAGAGACGGTGGTAAGATTTTAATAGAATCACTTGAGGTAAGAAGTGGTCAGATTGTGTATATCTTTGAAGGTAGAGCCAGTGTGCTGGCTAAAGGATTAGATGAGAGTATAGGAGAAAGACAGGGTCAAGGATGACTCCAGGGTTTTTGATCTGAGCAACTGTTTTTTGTTGTTGTTGTTGTTTTTTAGCTGAGCCATCCTGCTACCTGTTGGCAGCTCAGCGGCTGCTCAGCTCGGGCTGGACTCGAACCACTGTTGCTCAGAGCTCAAACTCTTGAGCAAGCTCTTAACCAACTGAGCCACTCGGCCGGCCCAGAGCAACTGTATTTTTAATCTCAAGTTTTTGGGGACATTTTACACATTAAACAAAACAACTTATATATTACTTACCATGGCATATGTTACAAAAGGTAAATATGCAGGTGCCATCAACTGAGATAGAAAAACAAGTTTTGTGGGGAAAGACCATGAATTCTACTTCGGACAGGTAAGTTTTAGATGCCTAACAGATATACAAGTGGAGATGTCAGGTAGAGAGTTGAATACATGGCTCTCTAATTGGAAAGACAGACCTAAATAATAGTGCATATTATTAAAGACTCTGAGAGGTTCTAAAACAAGAAGTTTGACTAACTTCGCTTAACCCAGAGTTTATCAAACTTACCTGATCATGGCACCCATTTTTTTCTAGAACTACTGTTAACAGTCTAGACAACCAGCCTTTCCTGGGATACACATTGGGAAACACTGCTGTACGACTCCCCCTATTCCTGTCCTCTCTGCCGCTTGCACTCGTCTCCCTTCCTGAAGGCACCCCCAAAGCCTTGTACTCTCTTCCTTCACGTAAACTCTCCCAGAGGCTTAATCTAGTCCCTATCTCCAAATCCTTCCCTATTCTCTCTGATAAGGCTCTAAAACACCAGAAATTAAAGATGTCAAAAACAAAACAGATTTTCTCTCATAAAAACTGTTTGCATTTCGCTTCATCTTTTCCCAGTTCTCCTCTCACAATATCCTCCACCACCATTCTCTAAATCCAGTCAGTCACAGAGTCAACAGCATTCTTTCCAGCATCTCAAAGTCTACTTTTCCTCTCCATTTCTAAACTCATCATCTTAGCTCCTCATGCTAGGCTTACTTCAGTAACTGCTTAGTCTTGCTTGAGTTCATCCCGTACACTGCTGTCAGATTAACTGTCCTAAAAATGCTATTTCCATCACATCATTTCCCCGTGAAGAATTCAGACTGGGTTTTCAATAGCCTGTCAGATTAAATGCAAATTCTGATTCCTAGTGTTGAAGCCCTCCAACAGTCTCACCTATTCAACTTCATTTTCACTATTGTTTAATTCCAATCTGGCTAAAAGCATTTTCAAAATAGTCCCACAGGCTCAAAATCTGCTCATTCCTAAGGGATTTTACTTACGCTGTTCTCTCCCACATAAAATGCCCTTCTCTATATGTTCCCACTATTTAAAGATGAAATTCCTTCCATAGCACATCTTCTCTGTTAAGCTTGTAGCCACAGCTTATAGTAATCACCTTGCTCTATATTCCTTCCATACTACTGCATTTGGTCTGACCCATGTCATCAAGTGATTATTTACATTAAGATTGTTCATATTTTTCTGTAAAGGGTCAGATAGCATTACTAGAATCTGCCATTGTGGCAGGAAAGCAGCCATAGACAATGGCTGTGCTCCAAAAAAACTTTACTGACAAAAACAGGAGGCAAGTAAATCATAGTTTACGACTCCTGGTTTACATAATGACTATTTTTTAAATTAATTTCTAAAATTTGTTGACACAGTTGCTACAACTGTCATTCAAATTTGTCCCTGTGCTTCCAGGCTCAGGTAAGAATATAAATAAGGTAAATTATACATCTTTTATAATCTCAAAGATGGAAAAGTACCCTTTACCAAAGAAAATGAACTTTTTTGTGCCCCTAAACTCTGAACAAAATTTCTCACATTAGGCTTTATACATAGAATACAGAGTGATATAATATAACAAGCAATATTCTCAATAACATAAGCAAAAGGGAATTTTATGTTACTTCTTTTTTAAACACACCCTGGATAAAACCATGGGTATAAAATGACATGTAATTCAGCAAAAGAGCCTCAGCTAACGGGGTCCAAGTGCAGAGTTTTTGGGTGCTCTAATCTAACTCAGTAGAGACTTGTATAGTATCCAGAGAAGCAGACGGTTAGACATATCACAGAATAGACTTACCCAAATGTCAACAGTGATAGAACTAAATAGGAGAAAATGTGGGGTTATACTCTCTGACCCTGGACCAGAATTGGGGGATTCCAAAATCCTCTGGGGGCCAGATGAGCAGCTGGTTAGGCTAATGGCTTATTATGGCAGTGAAGAAGCCAAACCATCCAGAAAGACGGCTGTCTCCAGGAGGTGGGCCAGTGGAGTCAAAGAGTACTGTTTTTATCAAAATTACCTAAGTATAGATGGCAGATACCTAAGCTTACAAAAGACAGCCCTTATTTCGGTGTGACACTTTAGAGAAAGAATATCTTTTTTAAACCTACAGTAACTTTATCTTTTCTAACAAATAGTCATTAAGCATTCTCAGAACCACTACCCAAGCTGGAATATGATTTGATATCATCTTTGATTTGCTATCCTTGGGCTATAAATTCTAAGTGTCTTTCATCTCCTAGAGACTTATATTTCAAGGTTAATCACAACCATTTGGCCTTTCAGGGTATCAAAACATCATATTCTC